AGGGCATTTGGACACAGTCGAAAGGGTGCCCTTAATGTCAAGGCTCTACTGTATTAATTTTGGAGGCTTTAGAGGTTATACAAATGAAATTTGAAAACTGTATGGTGAATAGAAGTATTTTTAATGTTAGCGTGCCATGCACTGCATATGTTTGTAAACAAATCTTCAGTAAAGTTACTTAATTGAAAAATCTGATTTTTTGTGTCAAAAAGACTTTTAGTGTTTTCTGAAAGCCTTCCAAATTTTGTGAAGATACACACCACATTACAAGTTTTAGCATGAATATTTTGATGGTTTCCTGGTAGTTACAAGGTTAGTCATAATGACCGAGCCCTAATGAAAAGAGTTAATTAAATCAGGACCAGCTTGCGCTAAAGGGTCGTGACTATAGCTTGTAAGTAGAATGCTACTGTTCAGTACTGGTTGCTAGCAAAAATGGAAAGCAAATTGAATTTTCAGCAGACATTAACCAGAAGCAGCAAGTGGATGTCAGAGGAATTCAAAACAAATTTCTGGTGGTGCGTCGGACCACATCACTTAGCATGGTTTGGTTGCTCAGCTGAACATTGACATACCATTAACAAGATTGTTAATAAAATTGGCTTTTCAACATTTACTACAAAATAATATGCAAGACCTCAGTTTATTAACCAGTGGTCTAAATGTAAAAACAGTTAGGTTTGAAATATGCTCTAACACACAGTGCTTCAGACTACATGTTGCAGATATTTTATGGGTTAGGCACCATTCGCACCTGACCCAATAAAAATACTCCCTCTCTTTTTATATAGACTTGAGAGAACACCAACAGGTAGAGCAATGATCTTCCTCATTCTTCCACGTCTCAGTGCTACGATGACAGTGCCGGTCGCTAAGATCACATCTTTCAACCTACAAAAGAACTTAGTGTATTAAAGAGAGAGAATACAATCATTGTACAATTTCAGTGTAGTTATGAAGTTATTAGTAATAGTGGTAATGGTGACGATATGTTGAGACATGGTAAGGTACAAGACTTGAAGAGTAATAGAATAATATAAATCTAACAAAAGGAATAAGAAGAATAATGGACGCGTAACAAATGGTGAATCTATTAACAAACTGTCCCTCTAGTTATTTTTCATTTTAGGCAAAACTTTGCATATTTTATCATCAAAATTGTTACAGTCTTATATCGTATTTTGAAAGTGTTTCTTTACGTTCTTGAGTACGTCGTTTATGAGGTCATTCAATAATGTAACCACTGTGTGTGCTCCATTCTAATTGACTTTACACTCGTATTTTGAAAGTGTTTCTTCATGTTCTTGAGTACGTCGTTTATGAGGTCATTCAATAATGTAACCACTGTGTGTGCTCCATTCTAATTGACTTTACACTCGTATTTTGAAAGTGTTTCTTTATGTTCTTGAGTACGTCGTTTATGAGGTCATTCAATAATGTAACCACTGTGTGTGCTCCATTCTAATTGACTTTACACTACCAGTTCTTAATAAGGTTGTGAATAATACTGTTCTGAGAATCAATAATTTTCTTTATACCTCACTTGTATATCATAGTTTTTACACAAGTCTTCACAGTGAACACTTTTTGAGGTGTAGTTAGCTGCAAGACAAATTTGCTAATTTAATGTCCACATGTATCAAGGCCAATACAGTCTTACATCCTCGGCATAAGTTGGTGGGAGAAGGGAGGGGAGATAGTATGTTTGGGACAGAAATATTAATGAATAACAATCCACAAAAATTCTTATTAATGCAGGGAATGCATAAAAAAAAACATTTTCTGGGTATAAATGAACAATGAGGCAGCAAACAAATGAATATAAACACATTCAGTTTCTGTTTTTGTTTCATTTTAGTGTTATAACATGTTTTCTTTTATTTTAAGCAGTTGAACATGGAAGCATAGAAAATGCTCTTACAATAATTAGATGTAATGCCCAAAATTTTGGCCTTGGGGCTATTGACTTCAATTTTTTTTTTACCCAGGGAACCAGTCACTTTAAACAAATTTAGTCCCTGGGTAAAAAATTGGGATCTTATATTTTAAAACAAAACATAAAAACATCATAATATTTAATATTCTCATTTATTACTTACTAAGAATAGTAACATTTGAATGTTTTCTATGTTACATTGGTTTGTCCATGATGTTTTTCTTGCCACAAGGTCCTCGTCTTCGGGTATTATAGCTTTGAAGCTAGATGGTGTTGCATCTAAGTCAAATTGCCATGTGGTGAATTCCATAAAATGAGACAGAACATTTTGGCACTACAAGAAACATTACGGTTGTTGTAGTGTTGAATCAAAGCTAAATGCAGATGAAAGATCTAAACGTTATTGAAAAATATATAATGATGAATAAGATTAAAAGGCAATTTTTCTTTGTATTGGATGTTAAGATTTTATTTGTACAGTTACTATAAGAATAATGTGGCAGTAAAAAATACCAAATTGTGTTTGATTATGAGATTTAAGTTTGTTGTGAATATTTTACTAAAGTCAATAATGTTAATCTTATGGACTCAATCATTTCATGCAGCATTTTGAGCTTGATATACCAGTGATGTAACAAGTCCATTTATCGGGTCTGATAATGTAAATCCTATGGACTCGATGATTTCAGACAGCATAATTGAGCTCAAAATATCAATGATGTAACAAGTGTGTTTATGAAGTCTGGTAATGTTAATCCTATGGACTCAATGGTTTCTTGCAGCATTTTGAGCTCTATATGCCAGTGATATAAAGAATTTTGATACCCTTTTTGTATCACTTTAGTTTCCACAATATTCTTTCAAGGGTGTGTTCTTACTTTATCCTCGGATTTGTGAATGGTATTGTGGTTATCTAGTCATCCAATGATAAATGCCTCTGAAACTTTCTTTTAATTTTTTTCTTTGAGATTCCAATCTGATATCATCTTGCTCACAGGGTGTTTTTTATATCCTCTTGCTCACATGGGACTTTTTATACCATCTTGCTCACAGGGTGTTTTTTATATCATCTTGCTCACATGGTAGTTTTTATACCATCTTGCTCACAGGGTACTTTTTATACCATCTTGCTCACAGGGTGTTTTTTATACCATCTTGCTCACAGGGTATTTTTTATACCATCTTGCTCACAGGGTATTTTTTTATACCATCTTGCTCACAGGGTACTTTTTATACCATCTTGCTCACAGGGTGTTTTTTATATCATCTTGCTCACAGGGTGTTTTTTATATCATCTTGCTCACAGGGTGTTTTTTATACCATCTTGCTCACAGGGTACTTTTTATACCATCTTGCTCACAGGGTACTTTTTTATACCACCTTGTTCACATGGTACTTTTTATACCATCTTGCTTACATGGTACTTTTAATACCATCTTGTTCACATGGTACTTTTTATAAGATCTTGCTCACAGGGTACTTTTTATACCATCTTGTTCACAGGGTACTTTTTTATACCATCTTACTCACAGGGTGTTTTTTTATATCATCTTGCTCACGGGATGTTTTTTTTTACCATCTTGCTCACAGGGTACTTTTCTGTCAGTGAAGCAATGAACTTCAGTTTGATTTATAATTGTCTGTAATGATATTGCTGATGGCTAGATGCAGACCAGGACCATAATTTCTTTTGCTTTGTTTGTCCTTGGTAGAGTTATAATTTGAAGTAGTAATATCCGATATTGGTTTGTTTGTCCTTGGTAGAGTTATAATCTGAAGTGGTAATATCTGATATTGTTTTGTTTGTCCTTGGTAGAGTTATAATTTGAAGTGATGATATCCGATATTGGTTTGTTTGTCCTTGGTAGAGTTATAATTTGAAGTGATAATATCCGATATTGCTTTGTTTGTCCTTGGTAGAGTTATAATTTGAAGTGGTAATATCCAATATTGCTTTGTTTGTCCTTGGTAGAGTTATAATTTGAAGTGATAATATCCGATATTGGTTTGTTTGTCCTTGGTAGAGTTATAATTTGAAGTGATAATATCTGATATTGGTTTGTTTGTCCTTGGTAGAGTTATAATTTGAAGTGGTAATATCCGATATTGCTTTGTTTGTCCTTGGTAGAGTTATAATTTGAAGTGGTAATATCCAATATTGCTTTGTTTGTCCTTGGTAGAGTTAAAATTTGAAGTGATAATATCCGATATTGCTTTGTTTGTCCTTGGTAGAGTTATAATTTGAAGTGGTAATATCCAATATTGCTTTGTTTGTCCTTGGTAGAGTTATAATGTGAAGTGGTAATAAATGATATTGGTACCAGAATATTAGGACTTGGATGTTGTCATATTTGCCATATCGGTTTGCTGAATTCCTGCTTTTGTAATATCTGTGTGTGTGTATATTATACATACACAGAAATTACAAATATATATATTGCATTATTGCCACATATATCCTTTTACATCAGATGATGATCATTCTCCATTAGGTTCTATCACTATCAGAGTTCTTTTGTCATTTTTTACATTCAGTATCCACATTCCATGAATTTTTCCCAGATGTTTGTATGCTCCCTTGGAAAAATGTTGTTATTTTCACTGCAATTGGTATATTTTGAGGGTGTATGATCCTGTTTTTACACCTGTTATTTATTTTTTAATATGTGTGCAAGAAGTTAGGGAATGTGATCACTCCTGTCATACCCCCCTCCCCTCACACACACACGTGCACCTGTGAGCGTAATCAAAAGACTACTCGGTATGCAGCCACATCTTTGTTTCTATACCACACGTACATTAAATACTTGGCATTCCTGAATACGACCAGTCACTTTTTGATCCTCACCAGTCAGTTACTTCACAGCCCTTCTAATCAGTTACATTCGATTAATTGGTAAGTATAATGTCCCTCAAATTATAGGAGTAGTTAGGAATGATTAGCTGCTAATTTCTTTTAATCAGCCTCGCTTGTGTGCATATCTGTCAAGATGGAAAGTTTTGGCATTTACTTTTTCTTTATTGTTATTTTCAGGTTCTAATGCTGTTAAATTTGTTCTCACAGGCAAAAAATGCTGACCATTATTCTCAGTATGTGACAGAAGATTTTGAAAAGTACATCGAAAGAAAGCGTTGTGACCACATTCATGGAAATCATGTTGAGATGCAGGCATTGTCCGAAATTTTTAATAGACCCATTGAAGTTTACCATTATAGCATTGGTATTTTCTTGTTTCTTTACTCCTTACTTGAGAATAATGAGAAATTCAGTCTCTTTTTTTGTTCTTCTTCTTTTTAACAGCATCTGTCATTTTGCAATTTTTATGATGATGTGTGTATATTGAACTTCAACGATTAGTTTGTTATATTTGGTTAAACTATGACTAATCTTTGTCTGATTATCATTTTCTTATTCACAACTTCTTCAAAAGAGAGGTTTGAATGTGAAGGAATTACAACAGACATCAAACATTTTTTCTTTATTGTTAATATTTGTTTGTTTATTCTTTGACAAATGATAATGCTGCAAAAGGATAATGGTTCTTTTAATTTTTCTCCCAAAATTATTTATTTTAATAATAAAGATTAGATATATTAAAATATTCTAATACTAAGACAGCTGAAGATCAGTAATGAGTGATTTGATTATCTTGTTTATGTACTGACTTAGTATTGTATATTTGTGTTATTTGATTATGAAGATAGTAACATCAAAGAAATTGTAGCCACAATGAAGAACACCATGGGTTGGTATCACTCATGAGAACACAGTGGTGGTCACAGTAGGTTGGTATCACTCCTGAAAACACAATGGAGGTCACCATGGGCTGGTATCACTCATGAGAACACAGTGGAGGTCACCAAGGGTTGGTATCACTCATGAGAACACAATGGAGGTCACCAAGGGTTGGTATCACTCATGAGAACACAATGGAGGTCACCATGGCTTGGTATTACTCATTAGAACACAGTGGAGGTCACCATAGGTTGGTATCACTCATTAGAACACAGTGGTGGTCACAGTAGGTTGGTATCACTCCTGAAAACACAGTGGAGGTCACCATGGGCTGGTATCACTCATGAGAACACAATATAGGTCACTGTGGATTGGTATCACTCATGATAACACAATATGGGTCACCATGGGTTGGTATCACTCATGATAACAAAATGTAGGTCACCATGGGTTGGTATTGTTCATGAGAACACATTATAGGTCACTGTGGGTTGGTATTGTTCATGAGAACACATTGTAGGTCACTGTGGGTTGGTATTGTTCATGAGAACACATTGTAGGTCACCCTGGCTTGGTATCACTCCTGAAAATCACAGTGGAGGTCACCATGGGCTGGTATCACTCATGAGAACACAATATAGGTCACTGTGAATTGGTATCACTCATGATAACACAACATAGGTCACCATGGGTTGGTATCACTCATGATAACAAAATGTAGGTCACCATGGGTTGGTATTGTTCATGAGAACACATTATAGGTCACTGTGGGTTGGTATTGTTCATGAGAACACATTGTAGGTCACCGTGGCTTGGTATCACTCATGATAACACACTGGAGGTCACCATGGCTTGGTATCTCTCATGATAACACACTGGAGGTCACCATGGCTTGTTATCACTCATGATAACACCCTGGAGGTCACCATGGCTTGTATCACTCATGAGAACACCCTGGAGGTCACCATGGCTTGTATCACTCATGAGAACACACTGGAGGTCACTATGGGTTGGTATCATTCATGAGAACACACTGGAGGTCACTGTGTGTTGGTATCACTCATGATAACACAGTGGAAGCCACCATTGGTTTTGTATTGTTCATGAGAACACAGTGGAGCTCACTGTGGGTTGGTATCACTCATGAAAACACAATATAGGTCACCATGGATTTGTATTACTCACACAAACACAGTGGGTTGGTATCAAACATAAGAACACAATAGAGGTCAGTGTGGGTTTGTATTACTCATGAGAACACAGTGGAGGTCACTGTTGGTTTTGTATTGTTCATGAGGACACAGTGGAAGTCGTAGTGGGTTAGTATTTTTCATGCGGACACAGTGGAAGTCATAGTGGGTTAGTATTGTTCATGAGGACACAGTGGAAGTTATTTTTGGTTGTTATCAGTCTGGGAATGCATGATAACATACTTGGAAATGGAGTTTTTTTAATGAGATAATTTGAAGAACTTAGTTTAGATAAATTATGCAGAAATGCTGGCTAGGTTTTGGGAAGGACAATACATGATAAGTTAAACGTATCTTCATTAAGATTTTGTTAAAATGAAAGGGAACAGGGGGAGAGTTGGATATTATATTTAATGGAGGGCAACATATAATGATGAAAGTATTTTTTATTGCAATGTGTGATAAATGAAAGGGAGAAGTGGCTAGATGTGAGGGAATGTAATGTGTGATAAATGGAAGGGTTAGGTGGCTAGATGTGAGGGAATGTAATGTGTGATAAATGGAAGGGAGAAGTGGCTAGATGTGAGGGAATGTAATGTGTGATAAATGGAAGGGTTAGGTGGCT